CTTTAGTGGCTTTAATATTCAAATTAGTGAGGACTTCATCTTGTCTGCAACAAACAAAATTAAGCGGAACTGAAAAGTATGTAAGAGACACATTTTGTAAAGTTTCTCAGATTCGAAGAACAAAATGACAATGAGAGGACCATTACCAGCGGAAAAAAGATTATATAATCCAGATCTCATTATTTTCCTCATAATCTCATTATTCTCTTCGCGGATGAAAGCATAAAACATGTATACAGATTTAAGCTCAACTTCAACAATTAAATCAAATTAGAAAAATTAATTACGATTACGTACTTACCTTTCTAACCAAGTCTCTTGCAGTTTGAAATAGTTCCCTGACATTTGCTGCACTTTGACCAACCCATAGTCCAGCCTCCAACTCTTGAGCTTCAACATTGACAATAGGCACTCTTGCTTCGGATGCAATAGCGAGCTCCAATGACGTTTTCCCCGTTCCTCTCTCACCCACAATAAGAATTCCCTGCAATGCAAATAAGCCCTTCCTAGGAATTAACGCTGCTCACAATTATATACTGTCCTACCTGATAAGAAAATATAAATTTGATAACTGGAAACACGGCCGCCATCATAATGGCGTCCTTTAGATTCCTGATTCTCTCTAATATATTCAGGGAAACAAGAGGAAAATATTCAGAGAAGCATAGTGAATTTCATATCATAACTAATAAGTCAAAAGTTACCTGTCTCTGCGCAATTTAATGTTTACCAAAATCAACGTTTTCTAAAAAGTTTTTGTTTCAAATTTGCCTTAGCCTCTTTCTGCCACTTTTCACTAAACCTTGGTTGGTAAACTGCAGATTCTAGGCTTTGTCTTCTCATCCAAACATGGAAGTCCTTGAGGAAGTAATCTACGGCACCAATGTTTGAGTTGCATGAGAGGGAAATGTCCTTTTATATGACCTTCAGGATCTCACTATAAGCAGTACAACTTCTCTTGACCATGTATATTCAGATTGATGCATTCATATTTTAGCATCTTTATCATATATTTTATTTAGTTTTTATAGTCATTATAATTTCATTTTGCATATTTCTCATCATTTTGAGTCTCATATAGAATAAGTTGAGTTTTAGAGTTTTAGATTACATTTCATTGCATTTGCATAGTCCTTGAGTCATTTATAGGTACTTTGGAGACCAAAAACCAAAGGAGAAAAGAATGGAAGCAAAGATGCAGAAAATGGTCAGAAGTTAGGTGCTCGTNGATNCCATTTNCACCGATGGATCGAGCTGAAAATTGGCCACATGCTAGGGAATCGAGTTAGCTTTCATTTNGAAGAAATTTGAGGTCATTCTAACGGTGCGATCAAAAGTTATGAAAGGTTTAGTGAAGATATGTCTGTCTGGCGAGTAAAAGAAGCAAGTGCAGAACTTTAGTAACTGGATCGATCGATCTGATTATCCAGTTTTTGCGGATGACCTGCGGATCGACCCAGTTTGAAGTACTATAAGTGGATCGATCGATCCATGCCCCAGAATTGCCCAAAAATCACTTTTTCTAACTTTGTTTTCTTTAATCAAAACGTGTTTTAATGCTCCAAAAACGTGTTTGAGGCCTTAAAAGCTGGTTTTCTCCCATCATTTACATATCTTATCATTTTTCTAGTTCANTTTTGTTTTTAGAGAATNTTNTTTTCTTGATTCAAGGATCAAAAC